TAAAAAACCACTGACGTACGCTTACCATATTTGTAGATTATGTTATATTGGCTCATATACCATAATGGCTAAGCCAACAAAAAGTCTTGAACTGCATTATCCAATGATCCAGTTTTTAATAACAAGATATATATATCCATCATCCGTTCCCAGGGCCAAACCCTTACTTACTTTAAGATCTTTTGACAAGCATACCACCTTAGCGCAGAACAGATTAAAGAAAAAAAGCAGCGCGCCCTCTTTCTACAAGTAAAAGAGAATATAGTGAGTCTTGTACCCAAGCCTTCCACAGCCCTACATTTCAGTTACACGGTAGGATCTGGGTGTGAGATCAGAAAGGAGTAGTCCCATCATGCAGCTTTGATGATTTTTCACGTGAATTTGGAGTGATCACAACTAACACTGTAATCCTGACGTGAAATCATGTCATGTGATCGAGCAAGTCCGTTGCCAACAATAATGCTCGACCCCTATTTTCACGATAACGCCAACTATCGAAAATTCAATCCCAAGGCTCGTTTACACTAAAACATTTTAATAAATATTGGCCCCTACCCCTCTTTTTTTCAAGTCTCATTTGCATTAAAATTTTTAATAAATCTTGGCCCCTATCCCCTACCCCCCTTTTTTCAAGTCTCGTTTGCACTAACATTTTTAATAAATCTTGGCCACCAACCCCCACCCACTTTTTTCAAGTCTTGTCTGCACCAAAATTTTTAATAAATCTTGGCCCTGCCCACTACCCTCCTTTTTCCAAGTCCTGTTTGCACTAAAATTTTTAATAAATCTTGGTCCCTACCCTCCTACCCCTTTTTTCAAGGCTCGTTTACACTAAATGTTCTGATAAATATCGGCCTCTACCCCTATCCCCCTTTTTCAAAGTCCAGTTTGCACTAAAAGATTTAATAAATCTTGGCCCCTAACCCCCTACCCCCCTCTTTTCAAGTCTCGTTTGCACTAAAAGTTTTAATAAATCTTGGCGCCTACCCCTACCCCTCTTTTTTTGAATTCCCTTTGGCGCTAAAACTTTTAATAAATTTTGACCCCTACTCCCCTACCCCCCCTTTTTTTTCAGTTGTGGATATCTTTTGGATTTCGGTGTTTTTTAGGAAAATTCGACTGTCCGCATCTTGGGGTTTTTTTTTTGTGTGTGAGTGAAAGAGTGTATTCTACCATAAAAGCAGAAAGCCTATTTTCCTTAACTAAAAACTAACTAAGCGTTCTTTGGTATCTCAATTTTTCCATTGACTACAAAAACTCTGCCATAGCCGCTCAACATTCGCCCTTCTCGAGTCTGCCTTGCCTTGGTTAAAGGAGAGAAGCTTTGGCGCCAGTCAGATTGAGCAAGCGTTTGACGATCTCGACAGAGATCATTACACGATTTATAGCTCTGTTAAATACAAGACAGTGTGCTTCTTGGTTTCGGCGCACCTGAGAACCATTTCGTGACGATAATTCAGTTTTACAGTGCTTAACCATCCAAGACGCTTCACAATGAATTCTGCTGGATTGAAAAAGTCGAATACAAAAGTGAATAATAATAAACTTGAGAGAATGGCTTTTGGATTTGTGAACTGAAGCCTCGGAACTCACCACGCTACACTGCAAACTTTAGATGATAGAAAAAGCAAACGTACTGAAGAGAAATCGGAGCCATCTTTTGTCCAGTAGAAATAAAATTTCGGATAAATGTCGAAAAACGTGATTGATCGCGGACAGTGCAAATATTTGCCTAGAACAAACCATACATGCTTCTTTTGATCTTGATCACGAGTAAATCTTTCACCTTTGGAAAATACACGGCAGTGAGCTGAAAATAAACCTCATTTCTCACTCCTAACATCAAGTGTTGATTCTCTTAACCTATTTCCATACATCCTTTGGTAGGAAAGTTTTGAGAAATTGTTGTTTTATCCCATAATGTAATGAATGGGTTGATCACGTTCAACTCTTTCGCTTCAGTCTGTTAGACAGTGTATCGATGTCGGAAGATAAATTGCAAGCTATCTTAGTGGTTCACCTACATCTTATGACAAGCGCCAGTTCGATGGTGATAATCGTGTTTGAGTCACGAGAGAGAGAACGTAATGCTAGCATATGAACCTTTTGCAGTGAATGGTTAAAGTACAATCAGTCGAGCTGTTGCAGTTGATAGTTAGTTCTTCTAACTTGAGAATGGCCGTGAAGATAACAAGCATTTTTCTGGTCTGCATCCTTGCCACTTTAAGCACTTTGGCAGTTGGCAAGAAACTCAAATATACAGAATGTGAACCATGGCATAAGGAGAAGGTCGTCCAATGGGTGGATATCCCTTCCTGCACATCGGATCCGTGTGTTTTCCATATCGGCAAAACTATCAATGCTTCCATGGCCTTCATTCCCCATCAAATAGTCGAAAAAGGAACGATATCTATAAAAGTGAGGGTACTTGGGATGGAAATCGCTTTTCCGTACACCGACAAGGATGTCTGCAGACATCACGGGCTGGAGTGTCCATTGAAACCAGGAAAGGAGTACACTGGAAATATCTCCCTGTATCTGAAGGATCTCGTTCCGGGTATTCATTTTGCAGGGGGTACAGCTAAAATGATGGCAAAAGACCAAAACAACAAATACATCTTCTGCTTCAAAATAGCAGTTAAATTCAAATACAACTGAGTACATTTATCTTTTTTAAGGAACGAGAGTGAACTAGCAACGCTTGAAGAAAATATTCAGTTTGATTGTTTAATGTTGTAACCGCAAACAGTACACAAATTATACATGGATTCCTGCCTCTGATTTGGCAGAAAAGAGAACATCATATTGTTCGATTAAATATTAAGCTTTCATGCGGGAATTGCTCGGGATTTCAATGTAACAGATGAAAAAAAAAATCGATGGTATTTTTGTAATTTTGCTTATGCTTTGATCTACTTTGTTAGTTTGCTTGATTTCATGCTCTAGACGATCCTTGTAATAAATAACTCAATTCACTTGAAATTATTATATTGGTGTATTCAAGTTTGGAACGGGAAACACTTTATCAGTTTTGGCGTGTTCCAAGCTTTATATCTTGGTTTCGCTTCACAAGACAAATTTTCGCCAAAAAGCCTCGTTTAAAAAACGACAGAGTGCGAATATATTTCCGAAGGAAAGAAGCAGATCGATTTTGGAAAACTGGTTTATCAAAATCAAGGGGGTTTATATTCACCAAAAGCAGAGTGTGTTTGTGTCACGCCCTTATCGCGTGAGGCTTAGCCTTGCGCCTTAGGGGCCGACCATTTAACTCTCTGGGGGGGGAGAGGGGGTGGGTGGTTTTGAAAAAAAATTTCCTGCAAGCGCTTGTTGGAAGAAAAAAATTGCATGCAGCCCAAATGTAACAGAAAAAAAGTTCTTACGTTGCTGTAAGAAAGAAAATAAAATGTTGCAAAGCTGTTTCATCATTCCGGGG